TGGATTGTCTATTTCGAATACGGTTAGAACTTGAAAACGGCTAAACCGAATCAGCTGATTTTTTTTTTAGTTAAACCTCAGAGCAGGGAAGAGTATAAATGCGCCTTGTCGACGTAGCCGTGTTTTATATCGCGCAATTCAGATAATGCAAAATTATTTTGCATAAGATACTCAAAATTAATTCTAGCTTCCAAATGACGTCATTTGGGGCAACTAAAATTTGGATCTTGCATCCTATGGACGTAATTTTGAAACTACATTAAAAATACAAGGCAAGAAGTACCATAGGGTTCCTATGATGGTGCCATTTTAGTCCTGTAACCTGTATTATTTGGAATCACTCGGAGAGTTTTGAGAGGCTTTGACGGTATATCGTCTCGAGTGAAGCTTTGAGATCCACAAATATCCACTATTTTTACTGAGATAAGTCTTTGCGATTGAGGAGAGAACGATTAACCTGTCAACCATCAAACAATTCTTCCGTAAACCGAACTGGAACTCGCTGAGTACTCGGTTAGCTGTAAGCCGTCTGTGCAGTATACATATACGCAAGCAGTTTTATGGACGCATTCAGACGAGATATTCCTCAGTAATTGCCAACTGTTAAGGTGTCTCCTTTGTTAGAAATTGAGCATATTATGATTTCCTTAAAGCTACTAGGGGTGCAATCAGTAAACAAAAGTAGTTGAAGGCCGCTGTCGACATCTGAATACACTGAGGCGTCGCATGCTTGTAAAACTCCGTTCTCACCTCTCTGTCTGTCCAAGTTATCATCCGTATACATTGGGAGTGCATAAGAGATTTCGGTAGCTGGGTTGTTGACGTAAGGGGTCGTTTGAAGTGCTCCGCAAGACTAAGCCTCTGGCTGTATCTGCTTCCTGGCCAGACGCCAAAATTCCTTACTACTTCTTTGCTTCAGTTGGCAAAGGTTATTAACAGTGAGACTGGCTCATACTGGTGGTATGCACTCCTAGGTTCGGGGGTATTGAGCGTCCTATAGGTTTATTTGTGGTCGAGGTTGTGAGGTGACGACGTGATAAGTTCCTAGCTGCATTTCTGAGAAGAACCAGTTATCATTTACAGTTTAAGTAAACGGGAAACACCTGATAATTTCCACCAGCTTTACGAAGGGAAATAATGTGTTGAAGTCATATATTAGCAAAATTAGCAAAGCTGTACTTAATGATCCTTGAATATCAAGGTGTTTTTCGCAAAGGCAAGGAGCTCGCCTGGCTTCCTCCTGGAGGCATCTTCTAGCGATGCCAAAACCGGAGAGCCTATGTATCTCATTCTTGCCCTCGTTAGAGCCGGACATTTGCAAATGAGATGCTCCAAGGTTTCGGTTGCCTCGGATCTATCATATTTCCGGCATTTGGCGTTGTCGGTTGTCGGAATACCCACTAACATTCTGCAGTCCTTCCGCGGAAGATGCAGCACGTAGCCTGCCTTGAGGGTGTGAGCATCCTTATCCCCGGGATGGTGCTTTTTGAGGCGCAGGTATAAGCTACCCATGGCCCACACCACCTTCCCGTATCTGGGATAGAGGATGTCCTCTGCCTCCTTGTTTATCTGGAGGACTGCACTTTACTACCCTCCATGGGTGATGTCGCAGAACCTTCCAGTCCGCGGTTGGTATAACCGGATTATGACGCTGTAGCAGCTTCAGCGCCAGGTCCCCTTGGATTGCGATGGGAAAGAGTATCTTCGCCTTTGGAATGGATGGGAATAGCTCCTGGTGCACCAGCTTCAGCTTGGCACCCTCCCATGCGCCTCCAACTGGCCGACCGCTTGCGTCAGCCACTTTCTCGTCGGGTCATCCATGCACTTAGACACCATTCTGACACCATTTAGCCACCCACCACCATCAAAGGTGGGCATGGGAGCTTCGGGATATTCCTCCATCCGTGCATTCAATGACTCAACGAGCCGCGCATGCACCATCTTTCACCGCGCCTCGGTCATTTTGCCGGCTTCATCGCTTCTGTCAATGAGTGCCACGATCAAATGTCGTTTGGTCACCTCACTGACTTTTGGGGTCTTGTTGGTCTTGTTGGTTTTTCGCCATTTTGGGAGGGCCTGCCTTCTTCCATACAGGCGCTCTCGGCTGAGCGTTGCCTTTTGTTGGCAAGCGTCTCCTCCACCTTGTTGGCGAATCTGGCTGTCGATATCATGTGGGGGAGTTTGGCGAAGTGAAGCCTCCACTCAGCGATCTTCTCCTCGGCCCAGTTAAGCTTTACCTTCTCCACTGGGGATAGGGCGGCTTTTTCCTGGAACCGATTCTTGATGGGGAGGGCAGCCTTGTACAGCGCCTTGGCCTTCATTCCCTCGCTTGACCGCTTTGGCCCGTCCCTGCGCTGGGAGCTGGTGCCTGGTTTCGGTGAGTCTTTCTTCCTTCTCTTTGGAGAGCTGCACGCTCTCAAGGTCCGAGTCTGTATCGACTATGGCACGTGAGCGGCTCAACTTCCCCTTAATCGTTTTTTCGGAAGTAGCGTTGCAACTGACATGACCGTGTAACCGCTGGCGACAAGCAGAGAGGATTGCCTCCCCCCCGTGCCCGCCGGTGGTAGCGGTGACGCCTTCCACCGACGTTTGAGCTAACATCCCAGCCCTGATTTTTTCCTTTAAACCCTCCAAAATGGTTTCTTTTTCGGGGGTACCACCCAGTTCCCAGCCATGGCTAATGGTTCACATTTTTCGGCTTTTTGGGCAGAAGGAATTGAACCGTAGCCTTTGCTGTATTATCGCGGACGGGGCAGTGCCCAGCCGGCATCGTCGCACAATGGGGTTTTTGACCACTTTATGTTGCATTTAATCATTTTTTAAAAGTGCTTTAATTAAAAAGAAAATATTGGGATTGTATTAACAAAACATGGAACTGTTATTCCCTCATACTCAAAATGTTAATACTTAACAGCATATGTTAGCAACAGAGCTGTTGCATCCGAAAGCGCGTCTGCTAAGTTTGTAATTTTTAGGAAGTGATCTTTGAAATTAAACTATTCGTGTAAGACACCATTTGCAAAGGAAAAAACTAATGAACACTGATTTCACAGGTTTTAACTACATGTTAAATGTATTAATTGTTTAAATTGTGCGTGTTTATACTGACATTTTGTCATTTTATAAATGCACCTTAAGCTGAATTTTGAGAAACAAATTTCAACTTTGGGAAGAGTTTTGAAATAGAAGTTCGCATTAGTTTTCACTGCGTCCAAGTGGATGTTGTAGCGTTGTCAATTCTGAGCAAAAATCAGTTTGTCTTATTGTGCACTTGACCGCACTATTGGTGCAATTTGAATTTTTCTTAGATTACCTCACTGTTTTCAACGCCAATTTGGTAGCTGTTTGTATGGAAAAACACTGAATTCCGGTCTTTTGGATATTTTAGTTCCTAGGGAAAGCGATGTCCGATTGCTATATCGTGTTAAAATAGCAACAAATATAAGCTCCCAAAATTTCTTTAATTTATCTTTACTTTTACCCGATCGTTCCTATGGGAGCTATAGGAAATAGTTTCCTGATCCGAACGATTTTCATACTTTATGTGGCTAGGATCAAATAATGATGATTGGTAAAGTTTCATGTCGATATCTCCAAAACTGACCGAGTTATTAATTAATGCCACAAAAACTGGTCAAAAACCCCATAGTGCGTCGGGGAGGGTTCAGATGGAGTTTGTTAATGCGTTTGAAATGTCATACATTTTTCGTAGGTGGCACCAAAATCTTAGCTATAACGCATTATGCGGCCAACGATCATTTTCTGTGGCATTAATTAATAACTTTAAAACGAATTAATATGGTTAGGATTTATTTTTTAGTCAAATTTAATTAATTAATTTTCTGTTAGATTTATAAAGATTTAGTTAACCATGAATAACAAGAAAGAAAGCTAACTGCGGAACGCCGAAGTTTGTATACCCAAGCAGTTTGCAATTGTTTAAATTAATAGAACAAATTTATAAAAGTTGTATATATTTTAGATTTGAAATATCTAATATAATAACCATTATAACGTTTCGTTTTTGATGAAATCGGTGCTCCGGTTTCCGAAAACGGAAGATTTTGAAGATTTGAAAAACAAGCACCTTTTTTTGGCCGGAATGAAAAGTAAATTGTTTTTTTTTAATATGAAATCAGATCTTATTTAAAAAATAGTTTACTCAGTGGTCTATTGATGTTTATTCCACACCACCATAGGATCATTCTGGCACGTAGTTATTTTATAAACATTAATAGACCACTGAGTAAATTATTTTTCTCTTTTAGTAAATAAGATTTGATTTCATATAAAAAAGCCATAGTTTTTATTCCGGACAGAAAAAGGTGCCCGCTTTTTAAATTAAAAAATCGTTCGATTTCGAAAACCGGATCACCGATTTCTAGTTTGCTGAAGAGTCGGCTGTTTATGCTAATTAAGAATATATATACTATATAGGGTCGGAAATATATTCTTTACTGCGTTGCAAACTTCTGACTAAAATTTTAATAGTCTGCAGGGGTGTGATAAATAATATTCCACAAAGTATTAAACATTTTTCCAATAAGATGAAAATATAAAAATTTTTGGTAAATAGATAAATCAGAACTGGCCGAAAAACGAAACTATAAATAGCTATCTCCGGAATTCTAACTTTGTTGATTTTTAAAAGTTTATTTTGCATACTTTCAGAATTACAGTTTTTAGTTTATTTCAGTTTCGGGATAAATTTTATATGTACTTAGATTTATTCCTTAACTTGGATTCATGAAATTCTCTAAGTGCATTTATTCTTAACTCAAAGGCACAACATATGCAGTATATGTATATATATACTGTTTAAGAATTTAATACAACAGAAGAATTTTTAAAGCTGTTTACTTGTCAATTATTCCATTGGCTAATTTGTTTGCTAAGGAATCCAAAATTGACGTTGGTATAATTCTTAGACCGCATTTAGGCTTCACTTTCAAATTGAAGGTGGTAGTTTCAATATCAAACTACGGCATTGTAAAATCAAAATGCTTTTAATCGACCAAGGTTGGTCTCTTGTTATAACTGCTATAAGTAAGTATTAAAATTCTTTTAGGAATGCGGTTAATCTTAGTATCCTATTTAGTTGGAAGACATCTGAATGAAAGTACAGTCTGCATCTTTTTAAATGAGAAATTTGTGATCCAACTCCAACAAATTGAACAATATACAAGTTTAGTATTAATAAATATAAAATCATTAAGCGAAGCATTTGATCGGGATGTGGTGAATGCAGGATTAAAGGAGGATAACTTGCAAGACGAAAATGGTAATGAGCTTCTGCTTAAAATTACAATATCCATTGAGGTTACACACTGTCAGGTAAAACGTTATATTATTTTGTTGTATAACTTTATGTAAATCGTTTGATCGTATTGTCATTGGTCAGGCATTTGTTGTATTTGGTCCTGATATTATCCGTTTTGTGGATGCTTTTACCAAGGCTTCAATGTATTCAATATGGCGATCCTTATATAACAAATTCGTTTTCGCATATAATGCAAACGAGTTCAAAGAAGAGCTGAGCAAAAGAACGTTTTTCGAGGGTAATTATTATAGTCCTCCCTTTCTTCACCGCCTTTCTTTAATTTATTTCAGACCAAGCAAACCTTCTTTTTGTTGTACGAGACTATGCAACCGGTACTGTTTTCGACATTAAGACCAACAAATATGTGGGACCCAGAGCAGAAAATCCAGCGCAGCTAAGACTTCTTGATAGATACTATGTCTCCGAACAAAGATTTCAGGATGGAAAATCTCTTTTCCCGGACAAACTTCAGGATTTGAAGGGACGCGAAGTCACAATTGCTGGGTTCAACTACCCTCCATACACCGTTATTAAACAAGTAAGATTATTATAATATTAAATTATAATATAGAGTTTAAAAGGTGTAGGAGACCCTATTATTCGATTAGAATAAAATTACGTTAAGTTCTCTGTTCGAACTGGGCCGCTTTTATGACGAGTAAAAAACTACAGTGGAGTATACTCCATTGTGGGATTCTTAATAAACGATGTCTCGTATATTACTTAATACATGATTACATAACTGCACATTTACCCAACTGGTACCATGAGAGTAGAGGACATAACTTACAGGTGTTAAAAAGTCGATTTCCAAAAATACCTCATCAACATATAGGTCGGTGCTGTTGATGATCGATAACAGTCCATACAAATTACTGATGAAATTAACATGGGCATGTCATCAGTAAATCGTAAATCAGTAAATAATGTTAAAAAAAATGTTTTTTCGTTGATAGCCTAGTTTGTGACACGTATACGGGCACAAATGACTATTAGTAAGAACTAGAATAAAATAGGAATAGGAACATTAGCGATATAGAAAAATGGATCGGCGATATTATGAAAAACATTGGAATTGAATGAGCTGAGGGTCCCACTGGACCGATCGGAGGCTGGCCACACTATTAGGGCAGGATCCGCACAAGACTCTGGGCACACTGAAACATCGTCAGGGCTTATATAAAGCGGGCCACGACACTGGAGAATTCACTTAGCAGCCGACTGCGATTGGGTCGAGTTAAGCTCCTCAGTAGTTAGCAGCGAAGTCACTTTTTCCTATAAATAAATCGTAGTTAGAATCTCTCTGTGATGACTTTCGAGCCCAATGGCCGACTCTCGAGTCCGAAACTCTGCTGACTTTGGAGTCCGAACTGCTCTGTTGACTCTCGAGTCCGAATCTCCGCGCCGACTTTCAAGTCCGAACCTCTGCTGACTTTGGAGTCCAACGACAACTTCTTCGTGCTGATTTCGAGTCCAACAACCATTTTCTGTGCTGACTTTTGAGTCCAAGAACAATTTTCTGTGTTGACTTTCGAGTCCAACAACAAGTCTCTCTGTGCTTCGAATCCGACATCAACTTTGTTCTGTTGACTTCCGAGTCCAACAATAACGGGGGTCTGTTGACTTTCAAGTCCGGACACATCCCCTCGTGGATGACTTTCGAGTCCGAATAACCTATCTTCTGGCGGAACTATCGGTATCTTCCCTACCGGACAGCCGCAAACCAGGACGAGGGGGCATAATCCTCTAGCGTTCTACTCTGGGACTGGGTCGGGGTGGCATAGCGACATAAGTCCGACGACATATCTCCGCCCGGTACATTTTTCGGGCGGACTTATGTCGCTTTTTTTCCGGCGGAGTTAAAAATTTGTATGATGTTATCCATAGGCCCATTTATCCATAGACTCATAAATAAATATTAAATATTGTTGAATCAGAGACCGATGTTTCGTCAAACATCGATGCATCGGTTAACATCGATATCAACAAAAATATCGAAAACATCGGAAACATCGCTATAAAAAACCTTGATGCTCGATGCATCGATGTTTTCAGCATCACTAGTTCGGTGTGCCAATAATTTTGTTCAGGGAAATGTGACAGTTTTTTAATTTTTATAAAGGTAGTCTAGGTCCATAGGAATATGTACCATATTACAAAACCTCTTAAACGCCAGGTAAAGTTTAGATGGCACTGAACGTTTCCGGCGAAAATATATCAAAAAAAAAAAAAAAAAAAAAAAAAAAAAAATTATAAATTATTGGAATGATATACAAGGATAAAATTAAGTTCATTTAGTTGGAAATTGATCAATATATTTATATAAAAATTGTTTAATGTAAATATTGCTATGTTTAATGGAAAAAAGGGTTCCAAAGTCAGACATGCTAACTGTGCCAAAAATTAAGTTCGTCACTGTATTTTCGCGCGGAGTTATGTCGCTTTAAAACGACATATCTCCGCCGAACTAGAAACGACATATCTCCGCGCGGAGCTATGTCGTTTTAAAGTGACATAACTCCGCGCGGAGATATGTCGTTTCTAGTTCGGCGGAGATATGTCGCGCGGACTTATGTCGCTATGCCTTATAATTTCAGTCAGAAGTTTTCAGCGCAGTAAACCCCTATAAAGTATATATATTCTTAATCAGCATCAACAGCCGAGTCAATCTTACCATGTCCGTTTGTCCACCTGTCCGTTTCTACGCAAACTAATCCCTCAGTTTTAAAGAAATTTGAATGAAACTTTTCATATAGTCTTCTGAATACTCTCACTGCTATATATGTCGGAACGGGCCGGATCAGACGACTATATCATAGCTGCCATACAAATGATCGAAAAATTTTTAGAAAAATATTTTTATCATCTTGGGGATATGGCCAACTTCGCTTTTAATTTTATGAAAATCGGACGACTATATCATATAACTGCCATAGAAACGATCGGTAGATGTAGAGAAAATGTAAAACTTTAATTCTCAAACTGTAAACAAAATACGTATAGGTAAAGTGTAATGAAACAACGATTTTTACGTGTTTTCAGTATTTAAATTTATAATATAAATATCAAAGCCAAATTATTATATGCTATGTTTAAATATACTACTTTTATATATTTCCTTTTATTTTTTCTATTAGTTTAGCTAGAATAGCTCATTTCTTATTGATCCAATTGCAAACTGCAAGGGTATACAAACTTCGGCGTGCCGAAGTTAGCTTCCATTCTTGTCTTACATGTTTTTGAGAAGCAGACCATATCAGAAGACATTTTAGTGACTTACTACTGTAGAAAAGTTGCATGCACACGCGAAGTAAACGGGAACTATTAAAAACACCAAATATGAAATGTTAATAAGTCCCGGTGGCTTTTAAGGCAAATTCTGCACAAGTCGAGACCGCAAGAAAAAAACACTTCCGTTCACTTCGGAGGAAGAATAGACAAAGGGTACAGCTTATGCGGATGACATAAGCATAATTATCGACCCTCAGCTCGATCATGGAAACAAGATATGTAAGTGGGCGGAAAAGGTAGGACTCAGTATCAACACATTATATATTACATTTACAGGTTTTCAGTAACAGTTTTACGTTCACAGCTGATTCCTATGGAAGCTATGTATATGTCATATGATAGCGTTTTCTGAAATAATGTCATATCTTAAACTAGAAGAAAATATGTTGAAAAACATGATTACTTATAATTTTGTTCTAAAATTTCTTTGGTCGTTTTTATGACACTTTTATGATAATTAGTCTAATTCCGCCCGTTCCGACTTATACACTAGTGAGAATATTAAGAAGAATATCTGCAAACTTGTATTCAGATAGCATTAAAATTAAGGGACTAGTTTGCGGCTTTTATATACCTACTTTATAGCCGCTGAAAAAAATATAATCGGTAGAAAGAATGGTTTAAGAAGGGAATTTAGGATTAAGGAATATAAAAAGGCAAAATGGACAAACTGAAAACTTAATCCTTTGACCTTCTACATCCACAGAGCACTAACGCCAATGCTCGCGATATAAATGTACCAGAGGATTCAGATCTCAGGAATGTCTATATCGATGGTACTGAAACTCGCATTGTCTTAACTTTCTGTGAACGATATAACTGCAGAGTTCAAATCGACACATGTAAGTAAATAATCAATAAACCTCAAACATAACTATATTTATTTGTGTTATATTATTTACTAATTTTTTTTAAACGTTTGAAAAACATCAGGCCTGCTCCGGTAATCGAAAACGGCAAGATTTTTTCGTTTTCGTTTTTGAAAACGAGAAATTGGTGCTCCGGTAATCGAAAACGAAAGATTCCTTCGATTTGAAACACGGGCACCTTTTTCTGGCCGGAATGAAAAGTAAATGGCTTTTTTTTATATGAAATTAGGTCTTATTTACAAAAGGAAAAAAATAGTTTACTCAGTGGTCTATTGATGTTTATTCCACACCACCATAAGATCATTCTGGCAGGTAGTTATTTAATAAAAAAAAATTTTCTGACCCCACCTCAGATTTGACAACAAAATTTTTGCCGTGTTTAACCAGTTTTCTCGGTTTGGCGATAGGTCGATAAGATCGCCGCAAAAAGTTATCGCCAAGGTTGCCATATTGTTGGTGGAACGAAACAGCCAGTTACAATACTTATAAAATATAAATGAATTCATTAATAACTTTAAAGGACCGCCAAAATGGTTGTTTATAAATAATGCTATTTAATTTTATTACTTAAATGGTCCAAATTAACCAAATAATTATTTGAGACCACCGGAATTAAAACTGTGAAAAGTGTGGTAGCATCTTAGGTGCCTAGATTTGCTTAAATCGACAATTTTTTGCCTTTTTCTTGCTTAGAAAAAGGGAAATTGTAAATATAATAGGCAGTACTTTACGTTGTTTGCTTATTACCAACAACACAAGTTAGCTGCTTGAGCAGTGAGAAACGATGAGAAAACGAAACATTCCGATAGCAGAAATTTGCCGAAAACCGGAGCAGCTAAAAACGAAAACGGTTCGTTTTGCCCAAAACGAAATCGAAAAAATTTTACGATTACCGGAGCAGGCCTGCATGTCTTTGCGTAAAAGCGCATTGTAGACATCTTATGTTTGAATCTGTACAAAATCCTACTTATGGTAAACAATACATGTCAATATCGAAAAAATGTGTATTTTTCGATCGTTGACAGTATGACAGAATTAGGGCAAAGTCGTCCAATATTCGGTTTGATTAAACTCACTATCTATCTAATTAACAAAACAAGCAAAAAATAATATTCAGGCCTGCTCCGGTAATCGTAAAATTTTTTCGTTTTCGTTTTGGGCGAAATCGTACGATTTTGTTTTTAGCTGCTCCAGTTTTCGAAAAATTTTTGCTATCGGAATGTTTCGTTTTCTCTTCGTTTCTTATTGCTCAAGCACTTGACTTGTTCTTTTGGTAAAAAGCAGACAACGTGAAGAACTGCCTTTTATATTTGCGATTGCTTATTTTAAAGCCGGGAAAAGGCAAACAATTATGGAGTTAAGCAAATTTAGGCATTTAAGATGCTGCCACATTTTTCACAGTTTTAATTACGGTGATCTCAATTAATTATTTGGTCAACTTTGACCATTTAAGCAATCAAATTAAATAGCATTATTTACAAACAACAATTTTGGCTCTCCTTTAAAGTTATTAATGTATTCATTTATATTTTATACGTGTTTTTAACTGACTGTGTTATTCCACCGACAATATTGCAACCTTGGCGATAACTCTTTGTGATGAACTTATCGACCTATCGCGAAAACGAGAATTCTTGTTGAACAAAATTTTGTTGTCAAATCTGAGGTGGGGTCAGAAATAAATTTTTTATAAAATAATTACCTGCCAGAATGCTCTTGTGGTGGTGTGGAAGTAATATCAATAGACCACTGAGTAACCTATTTTGTTCCTTTTGTAAATAAGATCTGATTTTATATAAAAAAGCCATTTACTTTTCATTCAAATCGAAAAACTCTTTCGCTTTCGATAACCGGAGCACCAATTCTTGTTTTCAAAAACGAAAACGAAAAAATCTTGCCGCTTTCGATTACCGGAGCAGGCATGATTAACTTTAAAATAATATTAACTTAAAATAAATAAATAAGGAAAACAGGCTTTTTCTGTAGCGGCGAAGTTTTAATACCCTTCTAGTTAGCAATAAGATCACTAAAAATATGGATTTGGGACAAATGCAATAAATAACCCTAATACTGTCTTCCCACACAGCACATTTGTGAGGAACGTTTGGGATTTTTCACAAATGTGAAACTCGTGTTCCCACACAACGTCAAAGCACATTCAACATCCTAACAGCTGACCGATCAGCTGTAGCCCATGAAAACGTAAACAAAGGCAGTCGAATTGGCAGTTGCAAATTTGAAATGGAGCATTTACCAACTATTTTGGCTGTTGTACAACAGCAAAAGGCACAGATTGCGTCAGAATTTATCCGCACTAAATTTAAATGAATTAAATGACATGGAATTTTAGTTTTTCTAATGATTTTTCTCTAACAAAGAGCAAATTCCCCGAAGAGTGTCTATAGGTGGTATAGGCATTCAAAATCTTTAAAATAAGGTAGAGGTAGGCGGTTTATATTAAATAGTAACAATTGGGGACGTATTGGGGCAAGAATATACAAAAAAAACGCCAACAACTATTTTGGGCATTCTTGTAGCTTTGGCGCCACATTTTAAATTTCATATCTCATTTGTTCCTCGCCAAGTTTGTTTACATTTTCGTGGTGAATGGTCAAATTAAGAAGAAGAATCAGAGTTGCACCGAAGAACTATCGCCTAACTATCGCCAAACAAACCGTGGTTAGATTTTAATGCTGAACTAACGCCGGGCCATTTGGGAAAATTCGGAACGGCAAAACCTTATGGAGCATTTGTTCAACGGATGTTGAATGCGCTTTAATGTTGTGTGGGAAGACCCTATTAGATTTTTGTTGAACTAACGCCGGTCCATTTGGGAAAATTCGGAACGGCAAAACCTTATGGAACATTTGTTCAACGGATGTTGAATGTGCTTTAATGTTGTGTGGGAAGACCCTATAACATGAGAGACTGAAAATGAATATATTTAAAAGCTCTGAACTTTTGTTCATTTGTTTTCTCATACAAATTGGCTTTTTGACTTGACTTATGATATTGTATAAAGTAATCCGATCTTCACAAAATTTAAAACCATTTTTAAAAAACATAGTAAATAAATATACGTGAAATATAGGTGCCCCGTCTCGATCTCTTTAAGGCGCTTAATTGTCCAGCCGAACTTCAGATTGGTGCGCTTGCATTTGCAACCGGGGCGGATTTCTAAAAATCACCACCCCATACAGGGAGCAATCGAATGTAGGTCACATAAAAGACATCCTGCATTCACAGTTGAGTACCACTGAGCTTCCAACCGTGTACTACGATGGTTGTCGCGCACATAAACCACCTCAATTTCAGGCCATTAAGCTTTCGACAAGATGCGTTAATTGTGGGTCCCTGAGGCGTCCCCTATATGCTTCATAGGTGGTAGGTTGAGTGCCACTGGATGAATAACTCTAATAGAAACAACCGATCGTGCCTCCTCTTAAAAAAAGACAGCTTGCAGCTAAGAGAAACTGCAACAATTGTGGTGTACCGATGTAAGAGAGCAATCTTAGCGGAAGAAGTAAATGTTGGCAAATACAATTACGATAGCGCGACATATTGGTGCGAGTTTTATCAACTGAAAGAATGCATTCAGAAGCAACACCCCTAATCACTGCTTCCAGCGCGGTAGCGATCCGACAAAATCGGTTTTAAAATATAGGTATTAGGTATAAAAACTTATTGGCAGATCAGGAATTCCCATGTATTTTGACCATGTGTCCGGTGTTCGTTTTGGTCAGCAGGTGTACGTCCCACATCGTTAGTGTGAAAGGAAAATTAATTGTATTATTATTATTATTTTACTTATTTTTGCATTAATTTTATATTTTAGTTTAAACACATCATTATTATAGTATACATATGTATATATACATATATATATCTTTGGCTACATACATAATTGAAATACAAAACTAAAAATAAATTTCTTATTTACTTATTTTCCTATTATAGCTGACGCCAACGACTGGGGTACCATTTATCCAAATATCTCTGGGGATGGTGCACTAGGTATGATCATTAAAAACAAAGCAGATGTCTGCATTGGAGCTATGTACTCGTGGTTCGAGGACTACAGATACCTAGATCTCTCCATGTACCTCGTACGATCCGGCATAACATGCCTAGTTCCTATACCGATGCGACTAGCTGGTTGGTATATCCCACTGGAACCTTTTCAAGCAACTCTTTGGTCTGCGGTGTTTTTATGTTTATGTATAGAAACAGTGGGTTTGATTCTAGCATATAGGAGCGAGCAGCAACTGTACTTGACACCAAGCGAACGCGTTGGATGGTGGAACTGTGCGAAATTCGGAATGTCAACTACCTATAAACTTTTAATATCACAATCTGGAAATAGCAAAGCACATTCAATTACAGTCCGTGTGCTCCTTTTTGCTTGTTTTCTTAACGACTTAATTATTACCAGCATATATGGGGGCGGCCTTGCCAGTATATTAACCATTCCCAGCTTGGACGAAGCGGCTGACACTGTGCAACGTTTACGCTCTCACCAATTACAATGGGCCGCCAATTCTGAGGCATGGGTGTCAGCCATACGTGGTTCTGATGACGTGAGCTCTTTTACACTTAAGGTTCTAATATATACATATATAACTTACGAAATTTATTTCGCAGCCTTTAGTCCATGACTTGTTAAACAATTTTCACATCTATGGGGATGAAGAGCTTCTTCGATTTGCAGAGGATCAGCGAGTGAGCATTGGCTTTGCTGTTGAACGTCTGCCCTTCGGTAAGAAGAATCTCTACTAAAAAGAATTCTCTTATATGTCAATGATCTCGCAGGTCACTTTGCCATCGGGGACTACTTGGGCCCACAAGCAATTGATCAGCTAATTATTATGAGGGATGATCTTTATTATCAGTACACAGTAGCTTTTGTGCCGAGACTTTGGCCACTCCTAGGACAGTTCAACTCACTAATTTACAATTGGCACTCGTCCGGATTCGACAAATACTGGGAATATCGTGTCGTAGCCGGTAACTTAAACTTAAAAATACAACAACAAGTCGAGAGCACTATGTCCGGTAGTCAAGAGGACATTGGTCCAGTCACCCTAGGAATGTCTAACTTTGCTGGAATTATTCTTGTTTGGCTATTGGGTTCTATTATAGGCACGTTCACTTTCCTGGCCGAGGTGCTTTTAACAAATTTTCTAAAATTTAATTTAAGTTCTTCTTTATTGGAAAGATTTAGTTATATCTGATATTTTTATAAGCCCAACTTAAGGGGTAGCTACAGAAGACAATTTTCGAGCGCTTTTTATTTACTTTTTCTTTTTATATTGTAGGAGGAACAGCGTTAAATAAGTGAGAGTTTGCCATGTCTTATAAGCTTATATAAAAAACAAACCACACAGCTTTTTTTTATCTAAAACATATTTTAATACCATACACACAGCAGTTATCCTGATCCATGTTTGGCCTGAGGACCTTCGCAAGGCAAGCACTCAGGAGAAGACCAAATATAAAACTAGAGCAACCAAATATATATGAATTCTATTTAAAAAAAAAAGTTAAAAATTTGTAAAAAAAAGTAATTAACTTACTTACATAAATGTATTGATTTATTTATTTTTGAATTTAAGGCGAGAGTAGTTTTCTACAGGAGATAAAGCTAACAGGAAGTGTGAAAAAAAAACTACCCAGCGGTATAAACAAAAATTAAATTAAATATCATTTAATTGCATTCAATCAGTTTTTAAAATTGTGGATCCGCCATTGAATGTAGTAGGGGAAAATGCCCGATTGAGACAACGCGTGAACACACGAAGATCAACTGGTATGCATCATCTAGGCGGATTCCAACCAGCGTGGCAGGCTCTCAACAGCAGCCTCCCTCGACATAGCCTTCGACCTCAGGACAAATTTCAAGAATCCGGAGATCGTCGAGTGCTAGAAAAGATTCCGTATCCGAATATCTCTCGGGAGACACGGTGCTCCCGGTGTTGCCCAAATCTGTTTGTCCACTGGAGGGTCCCAACAGTTGTCCTCTCAGAGCCCCAGTTCCCTACCAGGAACGGACTATTCTGAGCTCAGAAGTTTTTCAAGCTGTGTTCACAGTATACCAGCTAGATCGACCTATCAGACATGTTCCTACATTCCTCCATTCTCGGAACTTCCTATTAATTGAAACCATCTTTCCGCTATTCAGTTGGTCTCTAAAAGAATTTCGGATAGGGACCACTTAGTAGTTCTTGGTGATTTTAACATCCCAGGGGCTATTTGGTCCCTAGATAATTCCATAAACCACAACACATCACAAAAAATGTGGTTTACCAAAGAGCACTTCAATTAAACGGATAATTAGCCGAAGGCGGCGTACCGGAGTTTGCCGGGCTTACTAGTAAATAAATAAATATTTATACATGCTGGAAAAAAAACAAAGTAATGTCAACTTTCATAAGCTAACCTATCACATATTTTATTTTCAGGCTTATATTTACAGCTTTCAATTTTTTTCTGAGTATTCGAAATATCGTTCCTAAGTCAGTTATGTGACATAGTCGTCTGATATTTATAAAATTAAACCCGATTTTTATAAAAAAAAACTCGGCTGTTTATGCTTAATAGGGTCGGAAATTTTATGAAAATCAGACGACTATATCATAAAGTTGCCTTTCACAACGTTGCAGCATTCTTCATCATCATTCTATATACAAGACTTGATATTTGCGTCGATAAGACTTTTCCTTAGTTATCTTGTTCCCGGATGCACGATATGAGTACTTCATACTCCTTTGTGATGATTTAAGACTACCGCTCCTGTACTTAGTTTTAATAATAATAAATCGTATCACGCCAAGACCACATTGGTTATAAATATATAATAACTAAGTCGTTTTCGGGAGTATTTTTTACAGTCGTTAGTTAAAGCTACTATATTTTATAAATCTCAAAATATTATTTTAAATGAACTACATACTTAAAGAACTAACTCACCCAACATAAAAGAATGCATTCGCTTGAGTTTAGAGAACGGTAATTGTACAATAAATATGTAATCGATCCACCGGAAGCAGAAAGTGGAGCATAAGAGATAAACAGTAATTTTAGGACTCAGCAGTAAGTATGCGCTTGGCCGAAAGACAACTTATCTTACATACATGCTTATCGTTGTTTTTTTTTTATTTCCTAACCTTTCTTCATCATCTTTAAATAAAAAAAAACAGCTAAATAAATTGTATATAACTAAACAGCGAACAAGAGTAATTTTTTGAATTAACAATCTTACCTTAATTGGCTTAAGCATAAAATGAGGAGCGCCTCCGAGGGGTTGCAGAGGTACAGCCGGTTCCGGGGTAACCTGCTGTACAGGCCGCGGTGGTTTCAATGTTAACTTTTTGAGACTGGCTATACGCTTATCGCACATTAAAGATACATCGTCAATTCGTTGTAGTACCTAAACGAATTTATAGAATAGGTAGTTACGCAACTTGAATACAAAACAAGAGAAAACAAGAAAGGAAGCTAGTTTCGGCACGCCGAAGTTTGTATACCCTTGCCGTTTGCAATTGAATCATTAAGAATCTTTTCATTCTCCTCAAACTAATAGAAAAAAATGAAAGGATATATATAAAAGTTGTATACCTATACACAGCATTTAAAATTTTGGTTTTGATAAAATAAGAATACAAGAAAGTTTAATCGTATAAAAAAGCTATATATGTATGCTGAAAACACACACAAAACAACGTTTAATTATAATTAAATGTATATAATTAATGTATACATTTCACCTAATTCTATTATATTTACAGTTTGACAGTTACAGTTTTGCACTCGCAGATTTACATTTTTCTGTACATCTATCGATTGTTTCTATAAAATTAAATTAACATTTTTTTACAAATATTAATCGATCGTTTCTTTGGTAGCTATATGTTATAGTTGTCCGATCCGTCTCGTTCCGACATAGTTGCATTTAGATAGTTTTAAAACAGAGGGACTAGATCGACTCGGCTGTAGATGCTGATCAAGAATGTACATACTTTATAGGGCTGGAAATACTAACTTCAGACTTAAATTATAATGCCCTGCAAGGGTATAAAAACTCCGCGACTCCGAAGTTTGATAAAGCTTACAATTGAACCGAACCCTTTCTTAAAGATTACTGGAGTTGCAAAAAACTTGTAGATATAACAACCAGTTTTTTTTTTTAAATTATAAATTGGCATATCATTCCTACGGCAGCTAAGTAACGGAAAAAAAAAGGTATATGATGTCTTGAATTATTTGTGGAGCACAGCTCATATATATGAATATAAATGTTTCTATAGACGCGCTAGAGTTGAGGTTTTGGGAACATTATTGCATAATTGAATTAGCTAATACTAACACCCTTGATTTATCAGGCCTGTTCTCGATTCCACTTGGAAGTGAATTTGATAACATTTGCGGATTTCCCTTTAATTTAATTAGTACAACGATTGTTTAAAATTAAAAAAAAAAGTAAATTAATTAAGCACAACAATCAAGTGCAGGATGAGATTTTCATCTTATTTATGGAAAATTTTATGATATTGTTAGAGGCTACACAAAGGGTGAATTGGGACGGACAAAACAGCTGACATCCGCCTGAGTTTTCTATACTTATTATCGAACATTTCCAGTACTGCGCCGAAAACAGATGATTGAAATTTCAAATATGAACTAGTAACCCATTAACGTACTTTGGTTGGACGCTAGAGCGTCTAAAATTCAATTAGCCCCCTATTAACAAAACGCAGGTAAGCAAAACAGCTGATATTTCTTGGGAACAAAAGGGACCAAGGGGAAATTTAACAAAAAGTCCCTAAATCAACAAGGGGAAATCGCTTATGTAAAGAGAAATCAGTAAATGTTATTAAATTCACTTCCGAGTGGAAACTAGAACAGGCCTGAATATATTACTTATTTTTTGTTATAGTACATGATAAAAAAATAATAATATTAAACCCAAGGGATGAAGAAGCTCTGATACGTCACCCGGAGGGAAGGCCCCCACACAGCCGGATAGCGGATACTGTGGATCGTGGGTGTCAGAGAGCCCAAGTCTGGACTCCGTACAGCATTGATAAATCTGCTAGAACCTCCCCGAGGTCCGGGAAATGACTATTAACGCCCCATTGCGCGTAGCCTCCAACCATCAAACCCGAGTAGGAACGCCGAGGGCATCTTTGGATGTGGCAGAAAGGCGACCATGCTAGAGCAGGTCAGCGTGAGTGGCATACAAGACATAGAAAGGATGCGCTGATCATAAGCCCTCCTCCAGAGACGTTTTACAGTGAAGTGCTCGGATTGGTTACTCGTGCCCAGGATGCCAGGATGGAAGAAGTCGGCTATAGCGTCTCAAGAGTTAGAAAGACAGCAAAAGGAGAGCTTTTGCTGGAGATGAAGCTCAACTCGCAGGTCCAAGCCAGCGGCTTCAGGGAGAGAATTGGCAAAGCCCTGGGAGCTGGGGCCACAATCCGTACGGTGACGCCCCAGGTCTCTTCACGGGTATGGGATCTGGACGAGCTGGCCACTAAAGAGGAGTTAGAGGATGCGCTTGTCAAGCTGGCTAACATCCCGCCTAAATCGGTGATCATTAATGGAATATGCGCCCTGGCCACAGGAAGCCAGGTCGCAACTTTTACGGTCCCTACTGGCTTGGCAGGAGCATTCAACAAACTCGGCAAGGTGAAGGTCGGATGGACTAGGTGCAGGATCAACGAGCTCAATCCTCAACACCAGTGTTTCAGGTGCCAAAGCTCCGTAGATAGAAGCAAGGCCTGTTTTAAATGTGGACAATTAGGGCATAAGGCGACAGCATGCCATAACCCAGCGAATTACTTCAAGTGCGAGCAGCTTAAAAGAAAGGACACTAGTCACCAAGGCCGGTAGACGGCCAGGATGACTAACTCTGAGCTTGCCACAGGGACTGGCACTTACCCGTTCTAGTAGTGGCGGCAAGGATTAAGGTGGCGAAGGCGCCAGGCCCGGACTGTGTTCCCAACAGGTCGCTCAATCTAGCGATTTTTCTCAGATTTTTTGTGGTGCTGTTCGGGAAATGCATTTGAGAAGGGCTCTATCCCTCAAGGTGGAAATAGCAGGGACTTGTCCTGCTGCCAAAACCGGAAAAGCCGTTGGATGACCATCAGAGCCATATGTCTGATAGACTGGGCCGACAAGGTGCTGGAATACCTTATAATTTCGAGACTGAAGAGAGCCATCGCAGCGGTAGGCGGCCTCTCTGATTCCCAATACGGCTTTAGAAAGGCTATGTCAACGTTTGACGTCATCACCACCTACTGGCGAGTGCAGCTTGAGCGACCATGCTGTATGCTGCACACCGTCTGGCCGCTCTTCGCATCTGCAGTGCGTTAAGGACGGTCTCCGATCAGGTGGCACAAGTTATATAACAAGGTGCGTCGGACAGCTAGAGGATATTTGCTCCTTGAGGTAGCCGAAGGTGGCTCGGAGTGCGCCGAGTCCATGAGGGACAGCATCTCTCGTTTCCTTGGAGACACGGCGGTGGTGCGAGCCGTGACATAGGATTCGAAAGTCAACGTCTTCGAAATCCGGAATCATACATTGCCTATGTATGCCAATGTGTTTGTCGGGCTTTTATGGTAACAAATGTTTAAAAAAATTTCTGCCCAATATGCAGAGCTTGCAAATAACTGTCGACAGTTTCAAGTTGTCTGCAAATAAGTGTCTTTCTCTCACTCTTTACGAAAAGACTCAGAGAGCACTCGTTTTTTTCTATTCTGTGTTGTTTCTGTTGTTCCAAGACCGTGGTCAGTGAAGAAAAGCATTTTGTTATATGGAATATGGAATCTAAATGACACTTGTTAACAAAAATATTTGAAAATAAAATTAAATTGTTCTATTAATCAAATTGTATTATTTCTTTGCATATGTGATTGTATACATTCACAAGCGTTCGTTTTGCAGACGAAATATATTAATTGCAACAACAACGAAAGTAAAGGTGAAGACAGTTTGCGCTGAGTTGTTCGGTCAATTGGTCTTTTGCTGGCGCTCTGTGTACGAGCGTTTCTCGTCCCGCTCTTTACGCACTGCTCATTGAACGACCGAAGTAAAAAGAACTCAACGAAAAGCGCTAAACAGAAAACAGAAATGAAGACAGCAGAACTCCCTTGCTCAGAGCGAGAGCGAGAGAGTATGAACTTGTTCGGTTGTGCTCGCAACGAGAGCACAAGAAAAAAACTGTCGACAGTTATTTGCAAGCTATGCCAATATCTTAAAATTATTGTGTCAAAATTTTACATCGCTCATAGCAAAATTAACGATGTTATGGGTAGTTAAACGGACTTTGTTTGGTGTTCGATGTATAAGCATCATAAAGATTAAAGCGCTCTCCTGAAAAATGTCATTTTTAAAACTTAACTTACAATTTACTGGACCAATCGGGTTGAAATTTGACTTATAACTTTTTTTACTTATTCTAATTTTTGTTTTAAATTTTACTATATTTGTAGTTTAAAATCGGGGGCTTTTCCTGTAATTTTGATAAGAAATCCGAACAAATTTAACAAATAAAAACGCTACGTGAGTCCCTCGAGACATTTATCCATTAACAAATGCAATATACTTTTTTGATATCGGATGATTGGAAGGGGATGATGATTTGGAGGGGACTCGAGAGATTCCCTATAACTTAAGTGGCCCGTTTTGCACCGAATCAACCTTACCCCCCTTAACCTTTTCAGGGTTAGCTTTCTCGTTTAGTTACTTGTTGTGCTGTTGCTCTATTTCCAAAACTATTTGTTTATTTATTAATAGTTTTTATTTTTTGTATATTCCCTTGCATTAAACTTGAATAGGTTCTGCTTATAAGTGTGTGTTTTCACGATTTTATATTTTCAATTTATGGTGCGACGAAAAGGGAAGCGCATTAGAAAGAAAACAAACATTGATTGTAGACCTAGAAGCGAACATCTAAAAAAACGGCTTTATTGCTGACATGGGTGAACTAGCAAAGCGACTTGTATACATATGCAAAAGGATTGTAGTTTTTGTTAAAGTCAATTTGATTGGATTAAGGAAAAAGAAATAAATTCTGTTAAGCTGTGCTCCATATACATCTTAAAGTTTTTACCGTGGACGACCAAAAACAGATTTTATGGAAGCTTCCAACCGGATATAACGATGTAAAATTTCTGAGCTGTAAAAAACTGACGAAAATATGGCTAATATAATGTAACACGACTAATGCAACTCATCTCAACCAACGGTTACCGAATTTAATGTGGACGAAGTTTTGTCACTCTACCTTGATACAAATATAAGTAAACATTAATATTTGCTTTGTCGTAGTTTTCTTAATAGTAGGACTTCCTTTAATTTACTACCAAGCTATGAAAAACTTCTGGCTGCCAAGGCATTAACTTATCCAAAAAATATCGGAGTCAGCGAATCCGAAGCCGAAGTTGGGCTGCAAAGTTGGTTGGATCACACGGCGTTGCGAATTGTAAAACTTCAAGCTGATGTCCTTGAGTGCACTGGTGGTAATAGCGTTACTGACTTGATTTTAATTGGTAATTGGGAATTTGACGGCACTTCTGGACATTCCGAATATAAACAGAAAGCATTAAACAATAACATTGATGATTCGAATTTGCTTGTGACTTCATATGTACCACTGGAACAAGTTACGCAAGAAAATTTTCCCACGAAACACAAAGTAATTTGGAAAAATCCTCGACCGTCATCTACATTTCAAAAAGAAACAACGCAATTGGTCTTAGATGAAGCAAAATATTTTAAAAGTAAAATTTTTGTTCTGGAGCCATATATATGTAAAGCACTAAACAAAAGTATTACAATTACACATCGTTAACAGTTAACAGTGGTTGATGGGAAAGTTTGTAGTGCTTTAACTGAAACCTCTACTAGTAAATGTTTCATATGTGACGCAACGCCGAGCGAATTGAATGACTTGAAAAAATGCTTAAGCAAAAAAGTTCACAAAGAGCATCTCGAGTTTGAGTTGTCACCATTACATTCTTATATTCGATATTTCTTGCATTTGGCATATAGATTGCACACGAAAACTTGGCGAATTTCTACCCCAGATGATAAAAAATAGGAAAATTCATAATCACAAAATCGTTTTAAACCATACAAATTCGACAAATTTTCCAAGGATTCCGAATCTCCAACCAAACAAAATTTCAGATTTTTTTTGTGGAAGATATGAGCATTCAAAGTCGAAATTGTTTTCCGTGTATGCGTCATACAACAAACAATAGGTAAATTAGTCGACTTTCAGGTATAATTGCACAAAAACTAAATAACCAATGGTCTTGATTTCTTTTAATGACAGGTACATTCATTAACTCTTATCCAAATTAAAAAAAAAGAATAATTTATGTGGGCTTGTAGAGGTAAATCGCTACCTGCCAGGTGTCCATTATTTTCACCTTTTTTTGGCTAAAGTTGTCTATAACTTCTGAACCTAGAGTCGGCAACTGCACTATGACTACGCACTGCGTGTATCTTTCCTGAATCAGAATCCGTTTGGATCGGCTGCGTCCAGCTGCGACTCTGGCATTGCAAAGCAAAAAACCGAAACAACTCAGGGTGAAATATACCAAAATACCGACACAATTTCACACAAAAAAAACAAGAAAGGAAGCTAACTTCGGCACGCCGAAGTTTGTATACCCTTGCAGATATTACTTCATTACATTTTACCTATACTTATAATGTTTACAGTTTGACAGTTACAGTTTTACATTCCCAGTTTTACATTTTCTGTACATCTACCGATCGTTTTTATGGCAGGTATATGATATACATAGTTGTCCGATTTTTATGAAATTTATACCAAAGTTCTAGAATCTCAGAGTAGATGAAAATACGTTAAAAAGCACGAAAGTTAAAATTTTGTTCCTATTAATTTCCTGATCGTTCCTATGGCAGCTATAAGATATAGTCGTCCGATTTTCATAAAATTTTTACCAAAATTCTGAAATAATATAAAAATGGCCATATCCCAAAAATGATGCAAAAATTTTGAAAAGCAGTCAAGTTATAATATTTTTTCTAAAAATGTATCGAAAATTTGTATGGCAGCTATATGATATAGTCGTCCGATCCAACATATATAGCAGTGAGAGTATATAGAAGACTATATGCAAAGTTTCATTCAGATAGCTTTAAAACTGAGGGACTTGTTTGCGTACAGATGGACGGACGGACGGACAGACGGACAGACGGACATGGCTAGATCGACTTGGCTGTTGATGCTGATCAAGAATATATATACTTTATAGGGTCGGAAAGGTCTTCTTCACTGCGTTGGGTATAAAAATACTAATAAATACAAATACTAACTAAAAGGGGGCTATTTAACAAAACTCAGGCAAAACAATCGCGTTTGCCTATACCGGCCAGCTGATATTCTTTGGGAACAAAAGGTACCAAGAGGAAATTTAACGAAATATCCATAAATCAACAAGGGAAATTCGCTTATGTTAAAGGGAAATCCGCAAATTCAAATTCACTTCCGAGTGGAAACTAGAACATTAAAAAATTTAAATATTTGAAAGACTAGTCTGTTTTTTTTTTTTTGCACCTAGCGCTATATAATTTTCCAGTACATTACTCCCTCCGTACGACCCTTTAAAACTGCGCTCCCTCTTACTGATTTACCTCAACGTACCGAACTTTACATAACAAAAAAAAAAATTTACTTACCTGTGATACTAAAGCCTTAGTTTCTGGAGTTGTGCTTTCTAAAAAAATTTGTTTGAATTCCTTTGGACTTGATAATTTAAAATCAGATGCAGAAGCAATGAAATCCAGTAGCTTGGCCAGGTCTGCAGAGGCTGAGCTTTTTTCCATATTTTGGGATGCTAAAAGCTCTACGCCATTGGCACACCACTGGTTAGCCTAAAATAAACATGCCGACTTAGTTTTGTTGAACAAGTGTAAAAATAGTTTGACGACTTACGCTATCTACTCTTTCCATTAGTTCATGGTTCTTAGCTAAGGTATCTAACCTTTTACAAAGATGCAATTCGATTAATGCACAAACACGATTTATTTCGTCGCACTTTGGTTGAACAACTATCCACGGATATATTTTTTGTGATTTAATTAGAGTTTGTCCAAGCAATAATACTTTATGTGCCCGTCGCGTGTCATCTTGAAAAACTTTATAATGATCATTTGCTAATTTCAAAAGTTCCGAGGCACGTTCGGCGCTCTCTCCAATTTCTGTCATCTCAGATATTGACTGCATATGTCCATCAAATATGTTCTTAAATTGTAAGATAGATTATTAAGAAAAAAAGTATTTGCTATGGAACTTATACCTGTATTTCATGGAAATCTTGCTCGAATATCCGAAGATGCAAACATTGTTGTAGAGATTCCCAGTGTGCCTGCCAAAAATCGTCGAAACGTCTTTCTGTTTCCTCTAGTTGAACAAGAAGTCTAGGGTAAAATCGAAAATCATCATGTTTACATTAAAATTAATATACATATATGTACGTAACCTAATATATGGGCATTTCTATTCTGTAGAATTTGACATTTGTACGTATTCAAAGCATGATATAATTATATATGTCGCGGAACGAATTAGGGCTATCGATAGTTAGCCAGGTTTCAGTAGGGCCGTAAAGGAGTCAGTATTTATTGTGTCAGGATTTCGGAATGAATGTAATCGGGCACACTAATTTAGGCAAATGCAAGCTTAGAATTGCCGGATGAATTTACACCGATTTGCGCCATCACAGAGAGAGGGAAGAGAAACTGCGGTATGTAAGCTAAGGAAAACTGTATTGCAGGTTAAGTTAACTTATGTATTTCAGAATAAAACCACACACGCACACGTTCACAACCAACGTTGTCCTTTGTTATCGCTAAGAAGGCATAACCCCGTGATCGGGCAAGCGGCGTCATTTTCTTTTATTCGCACTCTGCGAGATGTCTACACAGCATTCGCCCCGGCGGAGCCCCAGGCTGGAAGCCTCGGGTGCACCCGCAACTGCGACACCCACGACCACAGCAACTGGCAAAGCGGCCAGCTCTGCGAGTGCAGCTGGTGATCGACAGCGGCCACAGACTCCGAAGGAAAGTGGAAAAGCTGCCAGTGAATCGGCAAGTAATCTGCGGCCCGCAGCAAAGGGGCAGATTACGGACTCCACAACTGTACAAGTGGCGGCCCTAATGGAAAGGATCGCACACCTAGAGTCGGAGCTGGTGAAGGCAAGGGCAAATGAAGGGCAAGCAGAGGCCGCCAGGGATTCCGTTCGGGACACGCGGCGTTGGAGTGAGCGGTGCGGCGAATACACCGCCATATTTAAGTGGAAAAGCTGTCAGTGAAGCGGCATGTTCGAGTGGAATGCTGACACGTATGAGAGCAGCACCACGGCAGGGCTCGAGTGAGAGCCTGCCCAGGCAGATGAGTGACAATCTGCAACCGCCATCTTTGGATGAGCAGTTGCCGGCACAATTGAGTGCAAATTTGCCGCCACAATTGAGTGGAAACTTGGCGCCGATGCTCGGCGGCCATTGGGCAAACGGGCAACCTGTCACACGGACCTGTGCAACAACAACAGTGAGCTATTCTCCGCATTTTGTGTTACCGCCACGGCGCAGCCTGAATTAGGTTACGTTCAGCCGCCACGGGAGCCAACACACAATTTGGAGGTATCTATGCCATCGCCCCTATCATATGGAGCGGCGACAACGAGCATACCTGGGTGGACGCCACGAAGATTGCCTGATCTTCTCGAGTTTGAAGGTCAGCCAGAGGAATGGCCAATATTCCTGTGTGCGTTCACGGAGACAACGGCAGCTTACCAGTGTACAGAATTGGAGAATAATCAGAGGCTAGTGAAATCCCTGAAGGGTGAAGCCAGAGCAGCAGTGAAGTCGCTGCTTATCCACCCCAGAAATGTGCAAGCTGTTATGGAGCAGCTACGATTCCGGAATGGACGACCAGAGCTACTGATCCGTAGCCAACTGGAGAGCGTGCGCGATGTGCAGCCAATCCTGGAGGCTAATATTGCAAGGATCGTGCCGTACGCCACAAGGGTGAGCAACCTGGCAGCGTTCCTGCAGTCCACCACGACGGGCAACCAGCACCTGGGTAACCCCACCCTGATGGAGGACCTGGTCGCCAAGTTACCTGTGAGCAAAAGGCTGGACTGGGCGAAGCACGCGGCTGCGATACAGCCATACTCGACAGTGGTGCACCTGAGCGAGTGGCTTCATGAATTCGCTAAATTGGTGTGCACTGGACGTCGGACGTCGGAATCAAGGAGCACCCGAAGCGACGGGTGTTGCACGCGAATAGCGTCCCCGAGGAGGAGCGGTATGCAGACCGCCCCAAACGTTGCCCCATGTGTGAGGGACAACACGAGATCAAAGATTGCAAGGAATTCAACCACGCTTCTTCGACGATGCGGATCGAGTCCGCGAGGAAGTTGAGGTTATGTTTTTCGTGTCTGGAGTATGGACACATGGCCCGGTTCTGCAAGAACGGCCGCGAATGCAACGTCTACGGATGCCGGATGAGGCATCACTACCTACTCCATGAACCAGCTGGACATCCCAGACGGCCGCCAGTCGCAGATGGACGCAGACGTTGTACGGGGAGAATACGCAGGTAGACACCTACGCACAGACGACCCTTCTGTTACGCTCATCGACGACGAACTCATCCGCAGCCTGAACCTAAAGGGTGAGAGTCGACAACTGAATGTGCAGTGGTTTGGCGGAAAGTCCGCCAAAGAGCATACAAGGATGGTTAGCCTGCAGATCAGTGCAGCGGGCAAACCCAAGCGCCATGGGCTAAAGAACGTTTACGGAGTAGCCAATTTGAACCGATGCACAGCTTGCGTCGGGAAGTGAAGGCGAATGCGCGCCTGCCTGTAAGGCCGTACAGCAATGCGGCGCCAAGGATCCTAATTGGACTGGATCATGCGCATCTTGGAATACCCCTCAGAACCAGAAGCTACGGATCTGGAGCGCCATACGCAGAAGCCACCGCACTTGGATGGGTGGTATATGGACCGGTGAAGGGAAAGGCGTGTTCACTGCTTCAGAGATCGTGCCTCCTAGCCGTGCCTCAGGATAATCTTCTGGAGAAGATGGTCAGCAATTATTTCGAGATCGAGAATTTCGGAATGAAGCCGGCACAGCCACTCGCAGCTGGCGGAGTGAAGCCGGCGCCGTCAGTCGCAGATGGCAGCGTTGCACGGGCCCTGAGTATCCTGGAGGAGACGACTAAACGAGTTGGTCAACGATATGAGACTGGGCTCCTATGGAGAGACGACGAGGTGAGACTGCCAGAGAGCTACAGTATGGCACTCAAGAGACTCGTCAACATTGAGCGGAATATGAAGCGCGATGTGGACTTCGCGCGGGCCTACGACAGAATTATGGATGATTACGTAAAGAAAGGCTACGCACGACGACTGGAGCCCCAGGAAGTCCAGAGGTCCCAGGAAGGCAAGGTATGGTACCTGCCGCACTTCGGGGTGGAAAACCCGAACAAGCCTGGAAAAATCCGGCTGGTCTTCGACGCGGCTGCCAAGGTGAAAGGCGTGTCACTGAATTCGGCGCTGATGAAAGGCCTACAGCGCTACAAGCCCCTCCCAGCGGTACTCTTCCATTTCCGGGAAGGAGCAGTTGAGGTTTGTGCAGACATCAAGATGTTTCATGAGGTATTGATGCGACCACAGGACAGATGCGCTTAGAGGTTCCTGTGGATAAACGGAGACGATCGTCGGGATCCCGACATATATCAGATGACAGGTGATGACGTTCGGAGCTGCCTGCTCACCATGCTCGGCGGATTATGTGAAGACCGTAAATGCTTCGGAGTACAGCAGCACGGATCCGCGAGCAGTCCTGGCGATCAACGAGTATCACTACGTGGACGACTACGTCGACAGTTTTGCCAGTGAAGCAGAAGCCATCGCTGTCTCGACACGGGTGAGAGAAACACATGAGAATGCTGGTTTTGATTTGGAGCGTGATGACAGGGGAACGCGTCCCCACGAAGAGGGAGTTCCTGAGCCTGGTCATGTCCACGTTCGACCCGATGGGGTTTTTGAGCTGCTATATGGTCACCGCCAAGATATTGATGCGAAAGATTTGGCGGAGAGGAGTCGGCTGGGACGAGCAGCTGTCAGAAGAGTTAGCCGCGCCCTTTGAGAGCTGGCGGCAAGGAAGAATTCCGATGTCCACGCTACTATTTCGGCGCTGGACGAGTGCGGGCACTACAGCTGCACATCTTCGTGGATTCCAGCCAGTCAGCGTTTGCAGCAGCGGCCTATTGGCGGGCCACATATGAGAGCGGAGACGTGCAGGCGCATTTCATATGTTCCAAGACGAAGTGCGCTCCGATGAGGACAATGTCTATTCCCCGTCTGGAACTTCAAGCGGCAGTATTGCGTACGAGACTGATGGACACCGTCAAGCAGGAGCACGGTGTGGCGATCAGCGACTGCGTACTATAGACAGATTCTAAGACTGTGCTGCACTGGATAAGCAGCACCCACCGGAGATACAAGCAGTTCGTCGGAAACCGGGTGGTGGAAATCTTAGAATCCACAGAGATGTCCCAATGGAGATGGATCCCGTGGACCTAAGTATCGGGTCGCGGTGGTTAAGCGGTCCCGCATTCCTACGAGGACCGGAGGAGAGCTGGCCGAGATCGGGTGAGGATTGGATCCCCCCGATGCCAGATGAGGAAGAAATGAAATGTGAGTTTGCTCTGGTCATGACAAATTTTAAATCTGTGCAGAGATTCTCGAGCTACAACCGACTGGTGAGGAGCACCGCGTGGGTGCTCAGATATATTCGACGGTGCCGTGGACTACGTTGCGATCGAGAGGATCACGGGCTGACGTCGATGGAGTGCGCCGAGGCAGAGCGCGCACTGATAAGGCAGTCGCAGCGAGAAGCGTTTGCTGAGGACAACCAAGGAAAGGCCGCCAAGGGCAGCCGACTGTACGGGTTGTCCCCACACTTCGACGAGGGCGAAGTAATGCGAGCCAGCGGAAGGATCGACGACGCGGCGTGTGCCCCATACAGCGCGCGACGGCCGATCATACTGTCTCACACGGAGGCACTGGCGGAAATGATTGTGTAGCATCACCACGAGAGGATGTGCCACCTAAATACGGAGGCAACTATCGGAGCGATCCGGCAGAAGTTCTGGATTACGAACTCACGGAGGCTGCTACGCAAGGTGGTGAGCAACTGCAACGATCTGCTAAAGGGAGTGCCCGATGTTCCAGATCTACCCAAGGATAACGGACAGGAGTCCGAGAGATGCGCTACCAGGAAGCAGTGGCGCATAGCGAGGATGATGAGGGATCGATTCTGGAAGCGATGGGTGCATGAGTACCTGGCGACTCTTGTACGCAGGGAGAGATGGTGCCAACACGTCGAGCCCATTCGTCGAGGGGATCTGG